TTTGGTGTGTATATATATATATATTTCTTCGCATTATAAAATAAACATAAAAATTTCCTCATTTATATACACAAAAAAGAAAAATAAATAAATCCAATTGGTACGAGCTAAAGAGAAAAGAAAAACAATGTAAAAGCACGCACTCTATCGATAAAATCGAATTTATAATATTTTTAACATTTTAAACGTTATGACATTAATAAAATATGGCAAAAGAATTCCTTTTGTGAAGTCAAAATACCCAGACAATGCTTCAAATTATCTGTAAAGTTATTTAAATGAGAACGATCTAGTATCTAGCACGAGGGCTTAGCTGCAATTTCCAAACAAATTATATGTTTTCGTTGATTTAATACTGGAGATTCGTTTCCAGGTAGAAATCACTCAGTCGACCATGTTTTCGATACACTCCACCTGCTCTAGAATTTCCGAGTGGAATTTCCCTTGGCATGAACTTACGAGTGTGCTAGCAGAGCGATAGCTCCGTCACGGGATATTTACTACAGATGACGTATCCGCAAGAATTTTTACATTTCTCCATTGCTCCTACTATATTTAATGTCTGTAGAAATAAATTACTTTTTTCTAAGTTTTAAAAATCTGAAGAAATTTATTTAAGTCATAAATATTTATTCATAAAAATGTAAAGAAAGTCGGTACGTTTACGAGTGTATGATGATTTTCGGTGTTAGATACTCCATATTTCTACCGATCGCGATTCGATAAACAGATTTCACCGACAGGTGAGAGCGTATGAAGGAAAGTCGACTTTACTCCACCCATTTTCTTGACTACAAAGTATCCGAATGGACCACCCAGATCCGGAGAATCGCCCCACCCAGCCTAATTACAAACAGGATTTTCGAGTGCATTTTGAGCATCGACCGGGATAACAGTTAATTATTCGACTCTATTATTGTTATGCTCGTACGTAATCGACTCATCTTAGTTACATTCATGCTTGTTGACGGGTGGCTTTATGTTATGTTAAATGGCCCCGATGAGCCGATTACGGAAATGCCTTTTCGTAAATTTTTAAACGTCGTTGCCGTAAAATTCCTACCCGTCTAATTAAACCAACGTTAATTTACTTGTTTCGATATTCGAATTACACGCTTCCCGGCAAGATCCGGGAAGAAAATTAATATTCTTACTATCGATTCGAAGCCGGCATTTCCGGAATAAAGTTACATTTTTTGACGATTTATCGAAAAATATTCGTAAATGCGCCGATTCGCCCAACAGAATTTAATTTTTAACATACAAAAAAAAAAATTCCAATTCTTCGAATATTTTTTTTTCTTTTTTTTTAATATTTCTTTCTTCGTCCTCACTTGTCGTTCGATTCTTTGTTATATATAAGTTTAAAGAATGGATTTTTCTACCGTTATTTAAATATTTTAAAAATAGTTACTTAATGGCGCGAATAGGTTCGCTGCTTTAATTTACGAGAAGGCATTAAAGAACGCTTTTAAATAACGAAATTTATAACCAGATATGAAGCCGCTTTTTATAAAAATGGCAGCAATCAATCGACAAACGATTGTTATTTGCCTAATAAATGTGCACTAGAGCATTTATCGGATTTGCATATTTTCTCGAAATATACTCGCTAAATGGAAATGTCACCATTTTTTTTTTTTTTATCTTACACACAAACCTCGATGAATTTGTAACGTTTAAAGCGTAGAAAAACCCGTTAGACTAGTATTTTGGCCCTTTAAAATGACGCGAACTTATCCGTCGACACGTCTTTAATTATAAAGTCGGGATTATTAATTTTTAAATTTAGAAATTTAAATAGTATTGTTGGTCCAGTTTATTTTCATAAATGTGCATTTTTATTGGAGAGTTAATATTGAAGAAGAGTAAATAAATAATTTATAAGGTTGCGCCTAGAACGATCTAAGTTTGATATTAGCCTGGTGAATTCTTTAATTTCTGACGGTTGTACACATAGCAGCAAAGCATGTAAAAGGAAATTCGTCTGCTTAGTTAGAATGCCGCCGGCAGCGACGTCTGATCGCAGTTTTCTGCCCTATTTTATAAAGTGGAATTTATATGTTAGATGCGAGCGATAATCCTCATGCCAATGTGGATAATGCGCGTGTTATAAGAGGTATCGACGAGAGAAATAATTAGAAAAAAGAAGATTCCAGGTAGTTCACCTGTCACCCGACCACCCTGAAGGGAGAGTGAGCTGATCTGGCGCATGCGTGGTTGGGCTGGATGCTACCGACTGCCGACCGCGTTCTGTCAATTCCCAGGAAACTCTGAGCTTGTGTCTGCTGTCATGTGACGGGTCCGACTCAAAATTCGAATATGAACAGTGCCGCTGTTATAGGTCGCCAGCTTAGACAACAAAATACGGGAAGATCGGGACCGGGGCAACCGGTGACACCCGGAAGAGTTAGGCCACGTGCTTCGTCTCATCAACAATCGAACCAAAAAGGAGAACAAGGTGAGAAAATAAGCCGCTGGGAACAATTTCGTAGTCAGGTTACCCCTCAATGCTTCTGGGCCGTTTGTAAAGCGCTGAGTTGTGGTGTCTTCCTGTTGTCGGCCGGAATGGCGATGTCTGTTGTGGGATTCTACGCAGAACCTCTTTCGACCGAAGCGGTGAACGAGAACAACAAGACTGTCCGGGTGTTGGACCAAAATCGTCAATATCATCTTCATAACTTGACGTACGTGGGACCAGTCATCATGGGTTTAGGCGGATTTGTCTTGCTGGCCGTCTGTGTGATGAACTGCGACGGTCCCGAGACCGGTGGTGCTAAAGTGGTGCCTATTAAGAACGACAAACCCCTGACCAACGACATTCAGTTGTTGGATAAATCGAAGCTTAACGGACCCGGTCTAACGGGGCCGTACTTGTGTGTTCCCGGTGTACCCGTGCAGAATAACGTGGTTATTCCCGCCCCGCGACCAAAGTGTCCGACTCAACAGGTGACACATCCGGGCCCGGCCGTTCGACCAAAACTTCCTCTGCCCATCAAAGATTCGCCTTCTTCTTCCGATACGAAAACTTGGGAAGTCGAAGTGGTGGATTTAGTCCCGTCTCCGCAAGATTTGCAGCTGACCGATCCGGACGGCTGCGACACACCTCGACCGTCGTCCGTCTCGTCGATGGACATGGAATTATACTTGGCTTCTTGTCCTATCACCGTCAGGGTTCAGATAGAACCGCGTTACTTGGCGTCGATGGAGAGTTTGTCAGACAGTGACATGTCGGAATCCGCCGTCTTGTCTTGTCCCCTGTATCGTGAGCAAGGTGTTCCTCTCTTACAGCAGACTTCCAGTCCCAATTCCTCCCCCGAGCATATGGAAGTACCACTTTTAAAACGTGATACCAACAGGAGACTGTTGGGTTCGTCTCTGCACCAGTCTGGTAGAGGATTAGATGCCCATATGGGAGATCTTTTCACTTAACAATCGAACGTCAAAGACGGATGATGTGAACGATAAATTATTGTCTATCATTACCAGACGGGCAGGTGAGGGAAGTCCTCCACCTAAAACCATGTAAGTAATCAAATTTTCTATTGATACATCAATTATCCTTTTTCTACTCGTAACGGGACGTTCTTCTTAAATTAATTTTTACTTTAATTAATATTTCCGTAGACTTTAAAAGGCGGAGGGCGATAACTATTTCGTTAAGATTATAATTTCCGACCGAACTAAATCTTCTGTCGACGTTTTAAATAATTATATGAAAATTTATAAGGAAAACATTCAAAATCCAATCTGCTAATTAATTAATTTCAGGTTTTGGCTTTGTATAATTTATCTGCAAACCTTAAAGATATTTCTGTCCAATCTACGTTGGAAATTTAATTTTTCCGTTTTGTTTCAATAAAATAGAAAACGAATTACCTTATGATGGAAAATAGCTCGGGGAAATCTTAACCAACAAAGTTTTAAAGAAATCATTAAAAATAATTTCGCTGAAGGACACGACTCGACTGAAAATATATTACTTCACATATCTATGCATTAGTATATTTAAAGATAACATTCTTGAACCGAGACGATACTTTAACATCCGAGTTATTAAATTTCATAAAGTGCAAATAGTTCTTAATATCGGAATCTAAACAAAATGTAAGGATCGAAGTTGTCGAAAGTCTTATTTAGATTTATATCGTTTCCTCCATTGTTCCACCTTCGATCCGTGTGCTTTGTACTTACAGTTAAAGGGCCGTTTGTATAAATCAAAAAGAAACATTTTCGGACAAAAATAAAAAGAGGAGACGTAGTCTCATTCGACATTTCTGCATCTATATGGTAATTTTCATCGATCTGCAGCGATCTTTTCGTTTGCTTTCATCGGATTAAATACACCACAAAGTTTTCGTTATGAGTAGATACGGATCTATCTGGAAAATTCACGTCAGAAGCCTTTTCAATACGGTTGTTTGTCCGCCAACTAATCTGCTGCTGCAAGCCGGATATGATGGGGTCTGCAGGAAATTTGAAGCATTAGTTTAGCTTCCTTTTACAACAGTTAAGCGAAAGTACGCCTCGTGTTTTATATAACTTTATATATTAAATCGAAATCGTTGTTATACATTAAGCAGAAATTAACCCCAGTAAAAGTAATCCCATCAAATTAGGCGCGTAAAAATTGATTGAGGTTGTCAATCTGTTCCCAACTTAACTTTTCTGTTAGACACATCAACATTGATTAAGCAATTCGGTATCTTTTTTAATGTCAAACGTACATTTACCAATCATTAAATTTTTTTTATATCATTCAATTAGTCACTAGCAGAGCAGAAATGTTTAATCTGACATAACGATTCGGTAATAATCACCCTACCGAATAAAATTTTAAATCTCTATTTTATTATAGAAGTGAATTTCAAAATTTCCCACTTTTCTCAATCACATTTTTGTGTTTCCAATTGTTAAAAAAAAAATGGCAAATCGGATAGAGTTGATAAAGCAGTCGCCTCTTTATCACATATATATTTTTTCCCTTTTTTCTTCTTAAGAGTAACTCGAATTTCGGCGCGTAAATCTATTGTTATTATAGAAAAGAGGAAAATCTCAGAAAATAGGCTTTCGAAGGATGTTGTATACAGGAATTTCGTAGATGATGACGCGTAGCGCCCGAGGCATTCCAAGGAAACTTAAATGACTGGACCATACACTTACATGTGCCTCCAGCTTATTTATGAAATGAAGATTTTGAATTTTCATTAAATTAATATATAATAAATCAATCCAGAATTATTATTATTATTATTATTTATATTTAAAAAAAATTCATCCTTACTGATAAAATGTGATAAATTTTTTTAAAAAATTCCGTTTAATTTTTATGGCATTATCTTTTTTAAAATTTAAGGAAAATTTATAAAAAAGGAGAAATCCCATTCACGTTTTTTAACTAGAATATCCGAAATCTTTTTAATTAAAATATTTCAATGGAAGTAGAAAGAAGCTCTGAAAATTCGATCTATTTGATTAAAAAACGAATTGGAAACTGTATCTAACGCATTTCAAAAGTTGTGCTGCTAGAATTTCAACTTATAATTCAGAGAAGTATCTCGACATCAAATTCCTAACCGCACTTGGATTAGGTTCGAGTAAAGATCCGACAACCTTTCCAGCGTATAACTCTATCAGATATTTGAAAACATTCTCTAATTTTTCTTATAATATACAAATATTAAATTATACGTATATATATATATATATATATATATACAGCGAGAAACATAAATCGTCGTTTGTTCGTATAGTACTACCTCTATCCTACACGTGTACAGTATTTCCTCCTATTATGAATGGCGACGTTTCGAGCCTTCCTGTACTAAATTTACCGACTGCTAAGTAAATAAAGATGTAATTATCGATAATTTAAATGTTAATATAAATATTTACTGCCTACTTTAATTCGATTATATTTGCATTTCGTACATTTTAAACATTTACGATTATTTTCTTTGTGTTTTAAGAGTTAAAAATAAATAAATATAAATATCTTTCGCATATTCATTCTATAAGAATATCAAGAAAAAGTGTACGGCTAACGAAAGACCGAGCATGAAAATAGAGGAGGATTTTGGTATTTCAGCTATGCAATAACTCGGAATTCTGTATATTTTGTCTCACCGAAGGGGAAGGATAGTCCTATATTTTTACAGGAAGAAAATCCGTATATTGTATATCTGTACCGCTATATATATTAATTATACCACATGAATTAATTGGCATTTAGATAGACATTTATTCATACGTCTATTCGTCTTTCTAATTTATGAAATTAAATAATTACGAATTTTTTTTTCCTCGATACTAGTCTATTGACTGAATTAATTCGCTTTGTAACAAAATATAAAACGTATTCGACAATTTTATGCATGATCGACCTTCTTATATTTAAATTCAGGAAGTCAAAATATATTTTACCACACAATTATATTAATTAATAACCTTATTTTTTCCAATTTATTCTTCGCTAAGTTTTAGTTTCATCGCGCTTTTTAAATTAATTACTATATAATTATACGTCGGTAAATAGCCTAAATACACGACAAAATGCGTAAGATATATTAACGTTTATAAATTTTATAAGTCTTTTTTTTTAGGAGGAAAATTTATATATATAATTTTTCTTTAAAATAAAAAGAAAGTTGTATATTTTTTCTATTTTTTCCGCTAGAAATGATAGAGATAGCAGTTATAAAAGGTACTTTGCTTATATCCACGTATGAGTATTTTATTTAAAATCCTCTATAAAATAATTCTTTTGACTGAATTCAGTTTCTAAGAATGATTTTTTTTCCTGCAGTAGCTTTAAATTGCAAATAAGAACACGTAGAAAAGTTATGTCGAATAATTCAAAACTTACTAAATATGATTATTCTGTAAAAAAATAAAAACTTTTTAATATAAAGAAGGAAGATATTATGTAATATTTTTAAATTTTCAAATAATATATTAACTTTAAATGTCTATAATATATACAGTCTTAAACTTATGTGAGCTCTGAGCTTAAATATCGTCTCAAAAACAAGGATTTTACAATAGAAATGTTTAATTTATAATCAGAAAATTTCCCTTATATTCATTTAAGTCATTTAAAACTTAAATATCGTGTAAGATAGCTAATTAAAAATATATTACATGCAACAAAAAAATGTATTTACTCTTGTTAATTCGTTTTCCTTATTATGTTTTGCATATTAAAACGCAATTTAATCTGATTAAAAAAAGGATAGGGTAGGCGAATTAGATTAAAAGATAATTCTTTCTTCCCCTTTAATACGAATCTTTAGTAAATTTATAAGCAATTTTACAATATAAAAATTTTATTGTTGTATTCTTTTATACTATAAAATTATAAAAGCCAATGGTTGCTTCGGTCGTATACAATTTTACCTTTATATATTATATCTAAGAAAGATTAAATTTAAAAAAATGACAATCGAGATGGTAGTGATTTATCAATCTGTCCGCGTGCACTTTTATCTGTCATCCACAAGATCAAAATTATATAACGAATCTCTTGTTTTGTTGTATATATACAGTATATATATAATAATCTCATTATATAATATATAAAAAAAAATGTATAATTTAATATCGTTTTAATATATAAATATAAATATCGGTAATGATTTTAGTAAGATTTTAATCGACAAAGTCAATTAGCATTTGGTTTAGTAAGAAGCGACGTTACAAAAGGAGCGATGCATTGGCTCTACGTCGTAAAACTCAATATTAATTTCTACTCTGTCATCTTTAATGGTTATTTACATTTATAACATAAAAAAGTCTTTAAATACTAATGAACAAAATCTTTCGAACATAAGATATAACTATAAAAAGAAAATAGTTTGCCGAGAGTTTTGTTAATCGCTATACAAATTTTATTTTCATTCTTAATTACGATAGTTTTAAATGTTTAAAAATTTTCTAAAAAGTAAATTAAAAAAGAGTTTATGAATTTAAAAATAATTTTCTTCCTCTCGAAATTACGACACATGTTTTAATACCACTGCTTATGCTTTAACTAGGCCTTAAATTATGCCACGCTCTGTCCATTGCATTAAATATATATATGCAATTTTAAGGAAACGTGTACATTTCTCGTCATTTTAAGGCAAACATTAATTATAATATTTACATTTACTTTTATTTTTTAGGTTTAAATTGATTTAAATGTCGTTCTTTTAATGTAATTATACGAATCGATGATGCCGGATGAATTTATATTCTCCTCGACTTCGTTTGAATTCACTCTACTAATTGCTTTGTGTCTTTGTACCCTTCTATGTTTCTGTAATAGTTCTGTTAAGCTATCACGCAAAAGTCTGATGTAGAAAGTAGCATCTGAGTCAGCTGCTCCAGTTCGTGACAAACTACATAAAGTATTTAATTTACAAGATGAATTTTAAACCAATTAATCGTGTATAAGACGATTTTCTTCCGAGTTTATTATGATTTGCATGTTATTTTTTTTTACGAGTAATTATCTCGTTAATTTTTATGATTTGTAAATAGCAATT